ATGTAAGTAAATCAAGAGCTTTACAAATAGAAGAGCCAAGACGTTTCTCTCTGTGAGTGGGGGTGGATGTGTGTATGTGCTAGGAAATCATTGTTACTTCTGCAGTGAAATTCTGTTCCATGTGCTTGTTCTGTAAAATATGGACCTGAAAATCTTTCTACCTTTCCCTTGCCGTGTTCTTCCTTCATTACCTGCCTTGTCTTCTTCAAGTGCCTTTCACTCCATCTCTCTATCCATTCATCAAGAGAGTGCTTTCAAGAATCTTGGGAAATGATACATCATGTGTTGGGGGGGGAAATGTAGGCTGTTTGAAAATATTTTCATTGCCATTTCAGGAAAATAAATCAGATTGCTTCACAGAAAGTTTATTTTCTGATTCTCTAGAGAACCTTGGGATACAGTCTCTAAGGATGTTTACCTTTAATTTCCCATGAGTATCCATGGAGCATACCTAGAAAATATTCAAGACTCATATTATATGGACCAAAATTCAAGTGCCATCCCAAGACAGGAGGTCCTCTGGAGGTCCTCTGGGGCCAATCTAAGAAAGACAAACTCTGCAACTCTTTTATTGTTGCTCTAATTCACACTCCTCTTCATCTGCAAAAAGAGAAAATGTAACATCTTCACTGATACAGCACTTATTTTCTACGAAAGGTTGAGATACCATCTCTAGAGATATTTGTCTCTCAATTCCCATAAGGATCCATAGACTATGTCCAGAAATATCGTTTTGAATCAGCACAATGATGCTCGAGAATGATTTTCTTCCCAATTTCCCTTTATTCCCATTCATTTCCCAATGTAAGTCAAGGTGAAGATATTCACTGTACAGTTGTATCCTCAGGACTCACAGAATTGAAATCCCTTTCAGGTGGGGTGGTGTCAGGACAAGATAATTTAGGGAATCAGAAGTTTTATATTTTAGTGAAGTGTTTTTCAAACCTGGCAACTTTAAGATGTGTGGACTTCAGCTCCCAGAATTCCTCAGCCAGCATATTTGGTTACCATTACGAGGACACCAAAATCATGCCCTGTTCATTGTGAAGTTATTGTCCAATGATGTACAGTACATAATTGTGTCATGTAGTGTATGAAATCATGATGCATTCAATGTTCTGTCCCACCCCCACCTCCCCTTGACTGATCTGCACAGAAGATGGTGGTCTCCTCATGACTGGCTGTATTTATGTGGAGACTAGATTGTATCTCTTTTGAGATTTATGTTTGGATTCTTCCACCAAAGTGGGGGCAGGAGGTGGGCTTCAATGGCCTAAATGTCCCCTTCCAACTCTGGAATTTTCTGATGATATAATTCAATGTGTCAGTAGAATATTGCTTTAGAGTGGAGGTCAAAAAATGTGGGACCTAGAATGGACAGAATAAGTCCGTTCAACTGGTATATATAATGGTAACAGACATAGACTTGAAAGGGCTATACCATACAAGGATCCTTCTAGTAGTCAAGATGCATCATTTGACTCTGCTCCAGGGCAGAACCTTTTTGCCATTGCCCACTTTTTTCTGTTTTCCTACCATTTAATGGGCTCCATTTATTCTCCTCATAGAAAGCTCATACAATTGTAACGTTTGGAAAGCTATGCTAATACCTCATGCTATGCGCAAATGATACTGCTCAGATAACATAAGGACAAGAATGTCAAGAATGATTTCCTTCGTAAAGAGTGACAACCCTCCAATATTTT